GACTTGATAAAAATGCCCCCTTCCCCACTCATGGAGATGAATCAACCTGAAAAATGCACAATAATTAATATGCTTAAATAAAAAAAAAAAAAATTATGTTTGCACAATCTGTTGCAGGTGCAAGTAGCACAATATTATTGAAGTTAAAAAAAAGAACATGTTAAAAAGCAACCATAGGTCCTTTCACATTTGTTATGTATTTTGTCTAATGTCAGTAGAGTTATTAACTGCTTTCTTTGCATTACATCATAATCTAATTTACATTTGGAATAATATCCTCATCTTCATTTGTTATCACAATATTTTGGCCATTGTGCACTCCAAACTTATTCAGGTGTCTGCCAATCTGTGTAACACTCAGAGGATATCAAACTGAACTCTTTAATTTATGAAGATGGACAGCAGAATGAGTCTATGTCTAGGGATAACTCATCTTATTTAGCACTTCTCAGTTAGTCTAGTCTTTTCCCTACACTGAGTCTAAGTCTGTACTACTCAGACTGTGGATTGAACTCACAATTTCATTTTTTTTAAATTTTTTATCTATTTATTTTTTTTTTTTTACTAATGTTCACCCAATACAAGGCCCAAGAGCCAGTCTGTGTGGACTTATATTAGTTGAGGAAAGAACAAACATTAGGAGTATAGAGCTGAAGCAGACTTTAGAAGGAACTAGAAACCCAATCCTAAACAGGAAATGGGATAAACCTCTACTCCTGTTCAAAAAAACTGAACAAATTACTAGATCAGACTTGGTGAAAATAAAACAAGCAATAACTGAGCAGTAGTAAATAAGAACAAGATACCCCTAATCAGAAAGCAAAATGAGAACAATCCTCTTTCACAGATTAAATAAAGTGTTCAGTTTGAAATTCCTTGAAGGTTACCTAGATCAACAGACACTTAAAGACTAGAGAGCACAACAGCCAAAACATTGTGACAAAGATGAAAACATTAATCCAAATGTAAATGATAATTCCTCATCCCAGAATTTTAAACATAAATTAACAATCAGAATTCTGACAAAGAAAAGCATTTATCAGCACTCATTGTAAATTGTATCAACTATGTTATGCAAATTATGTAAATCAAAAGTGGTAACAATTTATTAGAGAAAGGGTATAAAAAAAATGTTATAATTTCATTGTTCAAATGTTAAATAAAATTGTTCATAAATTTTATTGATCAGAAAATTCTCATTAAATTTTATTCTTTATTGAAAGAGAGATTAATGCAATTTAGATCTTTATCTGATAATGGATTTTTTCCTATCTGAAGAAAAGAGGTTGCCTTGAAGATAATGTAAAGTAAACAAAGGACATTTAATTGCCATGTGAACTTCAAGTGGCAAGAATACTTTAACAAGAAGCTTCACCATGGTAATTTTAATCCATTTAATGTAAATCAGTTTTTAAAGACTAAAGACATTTTTAAAGAAATAAATGAAAATAAGAGTTATATAGAAACAGGATTTCTGACCTAATAATATTCATATAGTAAATATATTTAAATGCAATGATTTAACAATTTCAAAATATATAGTACTTTTTGCAATGTAAGGCATGTTAAAAAAAAAAAAAATTCCAAAAATCACCCTACATCTCCATGCCTTGATGACTGTGGTTTCCTAATAATTCAGAATTAAATAGGATTAAAAGTGGTTATATATCCTTTTTCTTCTATGTGCCATGTTCCTTCAGGATGTGGGTGATCATGACTTAAATTGACAATATTTTGGCACTCTTCCACAGCAGTTTGTATCATTAACTTTGAACCCTGTTCAAATTTTGTAAGGATTGGAGAGCATATTTCCACATCATTGCTTGATGTTAGACCTTTAACGAAGATTGGACATTTGTCCAGTTTAAATTTCTCACACTAACAAGCGATTTTACCAGCATATATGACAAAATTTCATCTTGATCCTTAGTGAGATTCATGTACTTTTCCCGGATTGCCTTTAACTGTTCTCGATATTCAATCTGCTCCTGCTGCATTTGTTATAATATTATCTTCAATAGTATATTATATTCATACAAGCAGTCATTAACTAGGAAGAAAAGATTTTTTTTGCTTTTTTTCCTTTTTCGTTTAAATTCAAATCCTTGTTGCTAATGTCATGTGTTCATTCCATTGGATGAAGACAACAATCATGAAATATGTTGTTTGGAGTCAACATAGTCTTACTGAATTCTGTATTAAGGATATAAAGCGCACTCCTGATTCTCAGCATTAATATATATGCTATTTCAATGAATCCAAGACATATTCTAGGAGATGTGTTCATCGCCACAACATTATATACATGTGTGTGTGTACCCGGAGATATAATATTCAAAGATTGTACATGTTTAGGCCTTTTATATATAAAATTAATTTCTGCAAATTTTGCACAAAAACTTTAAATTTCTTTTGAAAATATAAAACTAAACAAAAAAAATATACTGCCTTAAAGAAACGTTCTTACAAATATTTATATTTGAGTGTTTTTGTTTTATTTACTTTACATATGCACCTAACAAGTTCACAATTTGACATCCTGTGAAACTGAAATTAATCTTATTTTCCTGTTATACCCAATTTGTGAACATCTTCAAAAGATGATACACTAAGCCTCTTGTGGTTCTGGGTTACACCAAGGATGCCACAACAGGATTTTAATTATAACTATGAGCCAGAGCTCATCATGTTTATTTAGTGAGTCAATTAGAATTCTGTGAAGTGGTTGCAACATTGAGGACCAGAAATTAATACCATTGTAGACTTGAGGGACACTTGACTGACAATCATGATTAGAAGTTATATTTTCCAACATCAAAGATACTTTCATTGGGCACTCAAATCTTGAAAAATATTTAACTATGTTTAAATCCCGTTTGAGTTTATCCTTGTGAATGCAACATGATTCAGTTTCTGAAAACTTTTCTTTTTTTTTTTTATATTTATGTGTGCCGATTGTTGCTTTTGCAAATTTGTGAGGTGCACTATTAATCCCTGATACTAGAGTTTTCATTTTAAAAATACCAGTCTGATCAGGAGAGAAGAGAATTCACAGAAATGAAAAAGCATTGAGAGTATGCTAATCTCTCAGTTCCAGTTCTCGACAGTAAACCTAAGACCAGGATCATACATTATATCACTGATCATTGTAAAGACAATAATAGCACAATGCAGCATACAAGCTGGCACAGTGGATAAAGGCATTGGTTAGATCCAGTGACAGGACCCAAAGAGTGTGAGTTCAATACCCGGTTAAGGCAGTGGAGAACTTTCAGAGGGAAATTAGCAGGAGATAACTGATAACGGACATCCATCGCACGTGGAACTAGAACAGTCTACCCCAGTGAGCGAAATAAAGGGTTCAGTTCAACATTCGAACCACCTGAAGAAGGCCAGAGTGTACAATGGCCGAAACATTGTGATAAATATGGTGACAAAGATGAGGACAATAGTCTGAATAATGTAAATAAGGAATTTACTTATATTTATGTACAAATTAGCTGATTTGTTTATTAGATTAGATTAAAACCCAGTCTGAAAACTAATCAAGAGTTTACAATGTCAATTTAAATTCTTAAATTTACTTACTTGGACAATACCACCCCCACAAATTATAAATTATCAATCACAGGATTTCAATTTAATCCACTTAGTATAATGCCTTATTGTTCATATATTGAGGGTTATCATGAAACAAGTTAATATGCACACATGGTAAAATAGTTAATTGGTTGATTTTGTTTAGCAGCATATCAACCTCTATGGGTTATTTAATGGTGAAATCTAAATATTTTGAACAGTATTATGGCTTCAAATAAATATATTTTTAACATGCTCATATCCCTTCAACTACAGATAAAATGTATGTAATTTTACTATAAATAGGTATTGTTGGTATTTTTTATATAATAATGCATTTTTACCATAAAGATGTATTTTTACACTTATAGCATTTTGTTTTGTTTGGAGGTTCACTGTTTTCCCATAGCTGGGACCCTAACAGGCGTTACCACTCCAAGTCAGGGGTGGACCAGGAAAGAACAGCAATTAAGAGGTGGTTCCACACTCCTCAAAACCTCCTGATCAGAGTCCTTGCTGCTGGGTGTAGTTTATCAGCATACCAAAAATGGTTAAAACAGTGTTCCTACTCTGAAACCAGAGTTCAAAACTCATCATGGTGAAATTGGCAAGAATAATATCAGACTGTGAAATGATTCCATCATGTGGTACCATTGAAAAGTGTCTGAAAACCATACCACAGACTTATCCAAGCCTTGTAAGTGAAATTGAGTAGATGAAACTGTTCAAAAGTTGTCAATGGTTGTACTAAGTCACAAGTCATTGTGAACATGTGTTTGAGCATACTAGTCTTCAACTACTGATCATGTCAGAGTGTAGGTTCTCTCCCAGAAAATGTATGGTTCACTCAGCATAGTTGCAGTATAAACCATAAGTTGGCTCTGTGGGTGTTGAAGAAACACAAATGTACCTGAGCAGACATCTGCAACAGAGATTAGCCACTATAGCAGATAGGTGTACTCAGAAACAAGCAGTTAGGTATTAATATAAATGATCCAAAGTATATCATAAACCAAAGAACAAAGAAAACTTCATCTTCATTATCAGAATTAAAAAGGATTTTTCTTTGTTTAAAAATAACTGAATGCTAACCAACTACTAAAGATTGAATTTTAAATTCTTTATCACTGAGCAACATACAAATGTAACAATATGTATAGATGACTAAATAGATTTATTGTTAAAGATTTTAAAAAGTCTAATCATGATACTAAACAGTAGATATTTATGTACAGTACAAAAATTAATAATTACAACATTAATTGAAATTTTGTGATATAAAATGTTAGTATGAGTAATAAAAATATTTTGAAGCTATATATTTAAAATTGCAATTCAAACATTCCATATAAAAAGAAAACTATTTCATATCTTACACAGCAGCTAGCTGGATGAAGTTGAAATTGATTAAGTCAACTTACCTTAACTAAAAGGTGTCCTTCATTTTAAGGAATAATTCCAGACTGAAAAAGAAAAAAAATGAGTATTATTTTCAATACTAGTTCACCAAAACTGTCAAAAGACTGCATATTTAAACAATTTTACAACTGCATTGTACACAAATACCAAAAACTACATTTCTGCATATTCCTGAATATTAAGCTGAAATTAAAAAAAAAATTAATATAACTGATGTTCAGCATTGTTAGCATGCTATAAAGGAAAATTATACCAAATGAGACTAAATTTAAATATATCATTTGGAAAGTTTGTTATTTAAAGGGCCAAATTCAATATGAAATTATTTAACACAATGGGAAGCAAAGTGATTTATGAAAAAACTAAGTCAAAACAAAGCAATAAATACAAAAAGCAAAATGGATCAAACATGGTAATCAAGGTAATATCAAACAGTCCAGCAAAAAAGTACTTTATAGGATGTTAGCAGGGAGACTTCATAAAGTGAATAGTGTAAAATTATTTTTGATATATATATAAAATTGTATAATCAGGCAACAATCCTTTTATACAAGTTTTGTTAAAGATGACTGACAAGGTACTGTGATTAAATTTTCCATGTGTTCATACAAGTGTTTTCTTTTCTGGACACAAAATGTGTAAAAACTGTCCAAAAGTTCAGCATATCCAAGTGCTTTTGGTTATTCTTTTAGCCATTATCAACAACAATTTTTAGTTTTAAGTGAATGTGTGTTTGTTTTCTTTTTTTTATGCATGTATCTGAAGTTAGAGGAATGTTTTATTTTCCAAACACAGCATGTTGTAGTCATGTTCATAGTTAATGTTACTGTGTGTTAGCATTTTCTTTTTTATTATTAGTGCTTTCACTATTTTTAATCTTTTTTTAAAGCCACACACACATATGTTTGTGCATATATATATATATATAGATAGATAGATAGATAGATATCAATCCTAGCATATGGCACCTTTGGAAAATGCCTGAAAACTATACCAAGCCTTGTGAGTTAAATTGAGTAGTTGGAACACTTGAGAGCCGTCAACAGCTGTGCTAGCACAAATCCACAAGTTATGGCCAAGGGCTTGAGCGTGCTGGCCTTGTTCAAATTGTTGATTACGCTAGATAACATGCTCTCGCCCAGAAACTCTAAGGTCTGCTCAGCTTAGTTGGAGTATAAACCACAAGTGGGCCCTGTGGGCGTTGAGCAAACACAAATGTGACTGAGTGAGCATCTGTATTAGGGATTGGCTAGCTGCCCTAGTAGACAGGTATCCTCAAATACAAATGGCCAGCTATTATATATATATATATATATATACACACACACATACATACATACATACGTGTATAATGTGGTTTTAAGCATTACCATAATTCATGTTACTTTCATGCACAAGATACATTTATAAGGAAAAAGAAGTCAGCAGTCAATTATAAATATTTCTAGTATAAATATGTAATAAATTGGCCATTCTTTTGTAAATGACTCTTCTGACAACATAGTAAAAATATTATATTATTACATTACACACACAACACACTGTATATATATATATATATATATATATATATATATATATATATATATATATATATATATATACACACACACGTATGTATATATGTATACACACACACTGTTTTTCATATATTACACACATACATGAATTATGCATTATTGGCATGTAAACTCAACACAGTACAAGAGTTAACTTTACAAATTGAAAATCCTTTTATATACACAAACTAACCATCTGAAAAAAAATAATTCATTTGTTAGATAAACCATTAATTCTTTTTTACTTTTTTTTTTGTTTTAAGTAACATATGAAAAGACTTGAGGCAACAGAGACATTCTGGAAGGATGATGAGAATACCATAGACAGAGTATATGAGCAATAAGGAAGTTTTAAAGAAAATGAAAAAAAAAAAAAGGATGCTTATACTGAGAATCAGAAAAAGAGAGTTGAAAATGAGATATATAATGGGGAAAGGAGGCTTAGAGAAACTGACACTAACAGGAGAGGCTGAAGGAAAAGGAAAATGGCAAACAACCTACCTAATGAATTTGTGTGAATGGCAGAACAAATAAAATGGAAGGGATAGTAAAAAGACAAAACATGGTACACAGAATAATTTAGACTGTTTTTTTTGTTTACTTTCTAATTACTAAAATAAATTGCTTAAACTTTAACACTGTTTAAATACAACCACTTTTAGTAATAAAAAAAAAAAAAAAAAAAAAAATCATGAAATTAGTAAATTTGTAAGAGTGCAAAAGAAACCAAAATATTTAAGGATCTTTTCTACCCATGCCATATGCTTTATCATGAACTGGTTTGTTATTCTTTCCTTATTGACAAGAACCTACTTCAAAACCACTGACCTAAATATGTAAATTTAAACCACCATCCCACCCACAGGATAAAAACAGCTGTCAACTGTCACCTAACTCAGTCTGCTTAGACATATGCCCATTCATAGTAAACTGAAAATGTATTATTTTTCCACAAAAATAAACTTTGGGTTCAATTTGTAGCAGATTTACATTATTTTTAGCGAGGTTTTCATATTTTATATTAATAGAAAAATAAAAAGGAAAAGCACTGAATTTTTTTTTTCTTAAAACAAGTATTTTTTTCTACACAAAAAGCACAGATTAATGAATTTTAATGAAAATAATAAATTCTGCAAATAACATGGATAATCTACTTTTTTTGGCAGTAAACTGTTCTTGCGAACAAACATTCTTGTTAAATTTATACATTAAAATAATCTCCTGATAATCCCTGGTCTAGATCATATATCTCAAACTTTATTCATAGTGTTAAAACCATTTACAATTACACTGGTCATATTTCATGCACATGTGATCTAGGATTAACTTATGACATGGAAGAAAATAAAATATTTTCAACATTAAATATAAAAATAACACCCAAAAACAAACAATAGATCAAAAAAATAAGAAGTAATGTATGAACAGCCTAATCTTCAATAGAATCCACTGCTATGGTAACAAGGCATGTTCTACTATTGTCATCAAATATTGTGCTATCATAACAAGGAAACATCTCATTACTAGGAAAGAGAGATCAGTCTGCAGGATCAATAAATATATAAAGTTACATTGCAATTTTGCTTGAAAGCATTTTTAATTAATCCCCTAACTTATGTTATAGACAAGCGTATGGTTGCAAGAAGGAAATACGACAACAGCAGAAATAGATTTACAGGATTTATTTCAATAGGAACATGTGGGTTTGGGACAGCTACCTTGTGGTATAGTTCATAAGCCGGCTGCCGATCTGGGTTGATCTCTCACAGTAGTTCTCACTGGTTGGCGTGGCGCTCCTCCTGCTGACTGCCCAGACTGACCGTGACAGGTCTCTTCCCTGGCCTCCTGTTGACTGCCAGTACTTCCCCGTGTGACCCCTTTTATGGCAATTTTATGGCTTAACAGGCTCGAAAAACAACACGAGTATAATTAAGAGGGAAACATTTTTATTGGTCGAATAATAGGAAAACTTTAAAATATTTTACTTTTCTACCAGAACTTGTGCGTCGGGCCTATGCGCAAATGACGATAATGGTCATTTTTTGACAGGGCCTTGTCCCATTCACATCCGGCTCTCGCTCTTGAGTATGTTAGTTTATTTGCCTGCAAATCAGCTGAGATATGTCTTATTTTATTTTATAACACAAATATTTCAGCTTGCTCTTGATTTTATACTTTTAGAAAGATTTTACATTCCAATGTTTTACTATTAATTTGTATCAGTATATTTGAGACAAATATTCAGATTTAACAGGGTTTTAAAATCAATTTAAAATTCAGCATTAGCTGAAGTTTCAAACGATAAATATATAACCAAATATGCATGTTTTTCAGATCCTAGTAAAAAAATTTCTGAAAGAAATTAATGAGATTAAAAAATTCACTTGAAGCATGAGAAAACAATGTTTGCTTAAAAAAGTCTTTAAATTTAAATAATGTATTATGAAAGATAACATTTCAACCTTCCATCTGTCATCAACCATTGTAAGATCACTACTGGACAAAGATCTTTCCTAACCCCCTTAGCACAGTGTTTCTCAACAGCTTTAATTCATAATTCAATATAACTTTGTAAAAATTTTGAATTAAACAAAGAATGTTGAATACAATTGTATGAAAAGAAAGGTTAATATTCATTTATTCAAATAAAAGGAAAATTTTTAAAAATTAAAAAAAATAAAAATACCTTTTAAAAATGAATATTCAAACACGACACAGCACAGCAGTTGAAAATCACTGCCTTAGCATAACTGTGAAAGAATCAGAGAATAGTACAATCATGGATAATGACCATAATTATACTATCCTCTATCTCACCATCTGCTGTTTGATATACATTAGTCACCATTCAACCAACTTTATGCTCCATCTGTTATCATTTCTTCTTGCTATGTGTCTTGTCCAATTCTATTTGTCTTCAATTTACTATAAAATTGACTGGTGGTAATTTTTGCCATAAAAATATGTTGTAGGTAATTTTACTATAAAAATATACCACTGGTATTTTTACTATAAAAATGTATTTTTATACTTTCCTAATGTTTTGATTTTTATTTGAGGTTCACTATTTGCCTATAGCTGGGATCCCTAACAAGTGCTACCATCTCAGGTCAGAGGGTACCTAGAATAGCAGCAATTAAGAGGTGGTTGCAAGCTCCTCAAAATCTCCAATCTCCTGATGAGAGGCCTTGCTGCCAGATGTAGTTTATCGTCATACCCAGGACTACAGACCAAGTGAAGTTTAGCAAATATTCATTGAGCATTTTACTGAGAAATGCATAATGAGACGGATCTTCACTAGGTACCTTTCACTTGCAACTTTGGGTTAGATTTAATAAACACTAAGAACAGTAACTTGGATGTTCTCAAATTTCTGTGTTCTTTAAAATTGGCCATAATACAAAATACTATCAAAAAGTTTTATTTAAAGAGTAAGAATTAGATTCCTCCAAGAAAAAAAAAACTGATAGGAGAGTTGTTGTAATTGTCCAACAAAGAGACAATGAGTGGGGACACCAGATAATTAAACCAAATGACCAATCTGTTCAAGTCACCTTTAGTTTTAGATGACAAAAAAGATTTCATCTCTACATAAATGGTGTTAATAATAACAATACTGTCAAGTTAAAGAAACACTTTAATAAAAACAATATAAGTTGGATGATAACAATATTTTTTTTATGTGAAAGAGTTTGTTCGACTTTTCCTTTTTTTTTTCTTTTTTAAAATGAGGAGGAGTGAGTCAAGGTGACAAGTTATAGTTTTAACTGAAACTAATTGATCAGTAGTCAGTTGGGCATTGTTGTTGTCAGGTCTTAAAATATTCCAGACACATGTATAGATTTTTTACCTGTCCTAACTCCATGCCAACCTTCTTATCCCACACCTTGGAGGCTGGCTAACTGGCTATTCCTTAGATGAGTCACATCTAATGTTAATTACAGTTGCCCAGGTCAAAGGTAGGTCAGTTGATCACTAAGCAAAAAGAAAGGGAGAGAGAGAGAGAGAGAGTGTGTGTGTGTGTGTGTGTGTGTGTGTGTGTGTGTGTGTGTGTGTGTGTGTGTGTGTGTGTGTGTGTGTGTGTAATAAAGGTGGTAGTGATGATTTGTGTAGTCTTTACAAATCAAATAACCACTGCAAGAAGTACAGTTTAATACAATAATAAATAAAAAGTCATATAGACTTATATTACATGGGTATAGAAGGGTTTTTAGATTTTAAAATGTATTAAAAATCATTGTATATGCTACAATAATAATTTTTTTATCTTTTGTTAAAAAAAAATTAAGATTAAAAATAATTACATTAAACTCTACATGGATTTCAAGTTGATTTTTATAAAAGATCATGAATTAATTGAAGATAAAAAAATTTTTTAAAAAAAAATCAAATTTCTTAAAGTTATAGCATGCTAATGAATTATTACTTTTGAAAATAAGTAAATATAAAGTCATATATAGGATTTAAATTTGAATGAGAACCCAATGGAATGATATATTTTTCAAAATTGGAACATACACACTAGGTGCAATGAAATGTCCGTATTGGAGCTACTGGTGTGAATGCCAAGCAATACAGCATGCAGTTTCCAAATTTATGGCAGAGCGAATTTATCATGGTGATCTTTTTCTCATAGATGGTAGCGAAACTGTAGTTGACAAAAAAAAAAAAAAAAAAAAACACGTGTGTGCATGATAAAAATATACTTTTAAGATATGCTCTATTTATGGATAGAAGTGCTCAATAACTGGGATAGAACGTACCTAAATATAAAAGATAGAGAGGTCAACACAGAGGCAACACCGTTTTAGGCCATCTGAGGATTATGTTCAAGCATGAAACAGACTGTTGCCTCTTGGTATTGACCTCAGTGTCCACACACACACACAATTATATACAAGATAGATAAATAAAACAAGAAAAAATAAAATTAAGAAATATCAAAAATATAAGACAGAAGGGAAGAATTCGACGATTTTTGTGATCTTTTAGAGACTTTGTTAAATAGATATGAAAATAAACACAGATGAGCTTAGCACCTGGTACTCACTTAGAAAGAAGTAGGAGCCTCACCTTTTACTATTAAAAAAATTACAAGATGATAATGACCAGTAGAAGAGAAAAGGATTTCTCCCCCAGCTGCACTCAATGTGTAATGAAAAATACAGTCTTAACAATTTTAGAAGCTTTTATCAAAGATGAGTATGAACCAAAGCCAGGCAGCTGATGTATGCCTATTAACAGCTTGAAGCATCAGTGAATTCAGAAAAGAAAAGAAGAAAAAGAAAATTGTTCTAATGACAGCTGCTGTTAACCACCAAATTATTATTTTTCTAACACATAAAAGCTTAAAAAGAAAAGAAAATGAAAAGTAAGGCTGTATCTGAAACACTTGTAAATATTGTTTCAACAACTATATGTAGCCCCCCTTTTCCTGCTTCCATAGCAGATATTTACATGACCACACAAATACTAGACTTTATCATCAACTGTTCCATCAAATAATTTCTGCTAAAAGAAACTACCATATTTGATAGCATTTCAGACCACACTTTCCAACAAGAGAGGGAGAAGGAAGATGAAGAGAGGGGGAGAAGAAGGAAGATGAAGAGAGGGGGAGAAGAAGGAAGATGAAGAGAGGGGGAGAAGAAGGAAGATGAAGAGAGGGGAGAAGAAGGAAGATGAAGAGAGGGGGGAAGAAGGAAGATGAAGAGGGGGGAAGAAGGAAGATGAAGAGAGGGGGAGAAGAAGGAAGATGAAGAGAGGGGGAGAAGAAGGAAGATGAAGAGAGGGGGAGAAGAAGGAAGATGAAGAGAGGGGAAAGAAGGAAGATGAAGAGGGGGAGAAGAAGGAAGATGAAGAGGGGGAGAAGAAGGAAGATGAAGAGAGGGGAGAAGAAGAAGATGAAGAGGGGGAGAAGAAGGAAGAAGAGAGGGAGAAGAAGGAAGATGAAGAAGATGAAGAGGGGAGAAGAAGAAGAAGAGGGGGAGAAGAAGGAAGATGAAGAGAGGGGAGAAGAAGGAAGATGAAGAGAGAAGAAGGAAGAAGAGAGGGGAGAAGAAGGAAGAGAAGAGAGAAGAAGAAGATGAAGAGAGGGGGAGAAGAAGGAAGATGAAGAGAGGGGGAGAAGAAGGAAGATGAAGAGAAGGAAGATGAAGAGGGGGGAGAAGAAGGAAGATGAAGAGAGAGGGAGAAGAAGGAAGATGAAGAGGGGGGAGAAAAAGAAGATGAAGAGGGGGGGAGAAGGGAAGATGAAGAGAGGGGGGAAAGAAGGAAGATGAAGAGAGGGGGGAGAAGAAGGAAGATGAAGAGAGGGGAGAAGAAGGAAGATGAAGAGAGGGGAGAAGAAGGAAGATGAAGAGGGGGGAGAAGAAGGAAGATGAAGAGAGGGGGAGAAGAAGGAAGATGAAGAGAGAGGGAGAAGAAGGAAGATGAAGAGAGAGGGAGAAGAAGGAAGATGAAGAGAGAGGGAGAAGAAGGAAGATGAAGAGAGAGAGCAAAAGAGGGAGAAGAAGGAAGATGAGAGAGCAAAAGAGGGAGAAGAAGGAAGATGAGAGAGAGAGAGCAAGAGAGGGAGAAGAAGGAAGATGAAGAGAGAGAGAAGCAAGTTGAGGGAGAGAGAGGGAGAGAGAGAGGGAGAAGGGTGAGAGAGAGAGGAGAGAGAGAGAGAGAGAGGAGAGAGAGAAGCAAGTTGAAGAGAGAGAGAAGCAAGTTGAAGAGAGAGAGAGGGATGTACCCACCTGGCATCAGTTTAAACTCCTCTTTTTCTATATATCCAAACTAATTATAAACTTTAATTTTGGAAATTGAAAATTTCACTTACATATTTCAAAATTTAGAAGTTTATCAGCAAAATAAAAATCACATCCCCCTTGCCTTTACACACTGCAAGAGAGCAAGTTTACCTAATAGTGAAAATGCTGATCAAATCTGACTGATAAGAGCATTACGTTCAAACAATTTTACTCATCTTGGTTGCTATACCTGCTATACCCTCAATGTTTTGCCTGTTGTACCCTTCAGCTTTACTCAGGTGTCTATTGTACTTGGTAACCTTCCTGGAAATATGAACCAAACCCTTTGTTCTCATTATGCTTTCCATGTTCTCGTCTCTGCAAGATTTTTTTTTTTTCCTATTTGCCTTTGTGTGTTGCATGCCCATTTCTTCTTGGCCTACTTGATTAAAGTGTTCATCAAAACACATCTGGTTTCCCTGGCAGTTGTGAGTTCAATCCCTTGGTTGAGTAGTGCAGATTAATAATATATCCTGATTCAGTGGAAGAAACAGACAAGTGACACAGCCATATCAACCCACAAAAAAAAGTTATTTGATAATTTTATTCAGAAACCAGAAAAATGGTTTCAACTAAAACTTAACTTTCATTGTTCTGCAAACAAGCCTGCAGAAATTAAAATTTTTCTGCCTAAATACACCATATATATGCTTACAATTATATATATATATATATATATATATATATATATATATATATATATATATATATATATATATATGTATGTATGATGTAGAGAGAGAGAGAAATATTGGAGAAACTATGTGTGGATATAGAAAAAAAAATGCCATAAGGTCATTAAGCTGCTTTGCATACCATTACTGTTATGTTGCTGTGTAGTCAGTTTAACCATTTTTTAATGTTTCAACATTAGTGTATTTTTTTTGTCAAACTAAGTTAATTTTATATTATAATTCAGCTAACAACTTGTAAGGGTATAGACTTCTTAATTCTCCCTCATAAGCTCTAGTTGCATGTGCTAAATTATGACTCACAAATTCTTCAAGATGTATTAAAAAAAGCAAGTAATAATCATCACCAGAATGAGATTTTTCTACATAAAACACTGCCCCACCCCTATGAATTTCATCAACAAATCTGATTAAAAAAAATTTTAAAAAAAGATCGAGTAATGATGATACATTTCAATACTTGATTTTATTGAAAGTGTAGAGTGCAGGGAGGAGGGTAATGAATTTGGGTAACAAACTGATCTCTTCTCCCAAATGATTAAGGAACAGTGGGTGGGAGAAAAAGATTAAAGATTGGTTGACAAAATAAAAATGAATACAGAATAGGAAAAAATAAAATGTTTTCAAAAAATGAAAACATGACATTTGCAACAATTTCCATTAAGATAAAAAGAACAAGAAAAGGAATCAGTAGATTACCAATGGCTGTAATAACAAAGCTCGTATGAGGCATACATATTTTTTTAACTTAATACTGAGTAAACTTTGATTAAAATTTAGAAGTTATTAGTGTGGAGAAAATTGTATGAATACTATAGAAGAATTAGAAAGTCTGCATGCATGCACTCATGAGTCAAATCAATTTAGCAAGAGCAAAAAAAATTACAATTCTCTCTCAAAACTTTTGTCAGCCATTTTTTTTAATATTGCTGATAATAAAAACGTTTGAACAAAAGGGGAAAAAAAAAACAAAAAACTTTAAATGAATATTTTTAATGATTTGGGATTTTATTTCAAAATATTTTCTAATACTTTTCTATTAAGATAGAGTTTAATAATGAATAAATGCTTATCTTATACATGTGTACCCAATAGAAGACTTTATAGTTAGAAAAAGTGTAGGATTTATAAACTGCTCATCAAGAATGGGGATTAACATCAGTTAGAGAAACAACTAATAGAAAACATTCTTCTACAGAAGTGATAAAATGGTATAAAAATGTGAGCACAAAATGAGATCTTTATTTCCCCAGTTTCAGTAAATTATTTCTTCATTTCAATGAACATATAATTTAGATAAAATAATCAATTCCTAAGAAAGTATTTTATAGGAGGTACACCAGAGAAAGCAAGATCAATACTATATTAACTGATAGAGCTTTAATATTTTGGAATAAATTCCTGGTGAACAGTGGCCAACCACAAATAAAAGTTTTATACATTCTCACACAATGATGAGCAACTATACCATTTTATTTATATATATATATATATATATATATATATATATATATATAGTGTAACCTGGATATAAGAGAGTTGCCGGGACCGAAGAAGTCGTCTCTTATATCCGGGTTTGGTCTATTTTATATACATTAACACAAGCTCTAATTTGGGACAAGAGAAAATCTCTTATATCCGGGTTACACTGTGTGTGTGTGTGTGTATATATATATATATATATATATATATATATATAAATGGCAATCATTTTACATATTTTATGACTCAAAGAAACCAGAGTCAATCTTAAAAAGTCTAAGTTCTAATTTCTTCAATTAACAACATTAACTTATTAAATGAATGACTCATTAACATGAAATTATAATTAAGATACCCAATATATATAATAAAAAATTACATATAAAAAAGAATCAACATTAGAATTTATTAATAAACAGCTGCAAAATAGATTTTACATATAAGAATTACTAGTGATTCAAATTAAATTAAAATAATTGCCTAAATCAAAAACTGGCAAACATGATCAAGATGAATGGAACAAAAAAAATATAAAAATAAATAAAAAAAATAAAAATAAAAACGCATAAGGATAAGTGTAAAATATTAGAGAGCAAAACTTAAGCATGTAAAAAGTATCTTATATATAAACTGAAGAAAAATGTGTTAAAGTTATTTGTGTTTTTGAATTCTTCATCCAAAATTGCATTCATGATGTTATATATGAACAGAAAGTCTAAAATTTCCTGCAAAACTAAAAGCTTCCAGTTATTTTCTAATATTCTCTAATAATAAGTAATGGCTGGCTGTTTGTTTGTTTGTTTTCTGAGTATGCTTATCCGATTGGGTGGATGTCCAGTCCCTGTTGCAGATACCTGCTCAGTCTCATTTCTGTTTCTTCAACACACACAGATCCAATCTGAGTTTATATTGCAATTATGCTGAGCAGTTAAGGTTAGTTACAGATTCTGGGAAAGAGTGCATAATCTGGCATGACCAACAGTTTGAACAAGGCTCAAACCCTCCATCATGATTACCTGCATTTCTTGCTAGCACAAGCATTGATGACTTTCAAACAGTTTCATCTACCCAATTTCACTCAAGGCTTTGGTCAACCTGTGGTATAATTTTCAGGTACTTCCCAATGCTGCTTCAGGCTGGGTTCATCTCAAGCCAATATTATCAAGAAATCATTTACTTTATATATCAATCCTGGTGAGATTCAAACTTTGATCATATGACCAGAAACCTAACCATTCAGCCACACACCCATATTGATATTCTCTAATTAATACCAAATTCCTATTTTTCAAAGTTAAAAGAAAAAAAAAAATAAAAAAATAAAAAAATAAAAAATAAAAAAAATCAAGCTACACATACAAAAAACTGCATATATGCATGCATACAATGCAGCACATCGTATTGAAATTCAAGTTTGTAATAGATTAAAATCATTGTTCCTGAATTTTTTATTAGAAAATAATGAAAGGATTTTTACAATATCTACATAAAGGATTAAGAAAGGATCAATATACCAAAATACTAGTTACCAATTTGTAGTTTTCTTTATCCTAATTAAATCTAGATAATTAAGATTCTAGTCATAAAAAATTGTATTTAAGTAATTACTTTACATTAAGACATTTTTATTGTTATCACATTTTGGCCACTGTGTCCTTCAGCCTTCTTCAAGTGTATATCGATCCAAGTGACCTTTAAGGAATTTTAGACTGAACCCATTATTATATGGGTTAAATTGTTCTTGTTTTCCTGTCCATGTCTAGGAATACCTCATCTTGATTTTTTCATACTACTCAGTTACTCCTCATTCCGTCTTCACTGAGTTTAAGTCTGTATTACTCAGCCCAGGAATTCAACTCACAATTACTATGCTACCAAATGAAGCAGTTATTTAATCCTGTATGTTCTTAAATAGTCTCATTGAATTTCATATGGATGCCATGCATGGCACTAGACTCCTTCAGAAATATTTAAACTGTTTCTCAAATCGATGCTTAAAAAGAGCTTTGAGCAGGTGAAGCATGTAGACCTCAGTGAGGATCATCTTTCCTCAAATATCATGGACTAGCATTATAGAATCACAAACAAAGAACTGTACTACATAACAGAAACCACATTGAGGTTTTCTACAGTAGCAACGAGTAAAATGGATATCACATGTATCTCAAAGAGAAAATAAGGACAATCAAAATGCTGATGTTCTACATTACCCCAGACAAACGGCAAGGAAAGAAAGAAACCCCATCCATACTGGAAAAAGCATTAAAAATTATAGGACTTGAGTAGCCTGTTGTCCTGAAAACTTGTTTTAAGAGAAGGATTTTGTAAATTTCAACCAGAAGCAGCACTAACAGTTCAGTCAATGAATGCCAAATATTTCCTTACATTTCCTATAAGTCTACCATTCACCCATTCTTAGAATATTGCTGCCACCTTTGGTCTGGTGCCCGGCTATTTATTTTGGGCTCCTTGATAAGATCCAAAGAAGAATCTGCAATATTATTGGGCCTGATCTGGTACTTCAGCTCCAGCCATTTTCCCCCACCACCATAAGGTTGCCTCTCTCTGTCTTTTCTATAAATACTTTCATGGTAATTGTTTGTCCAAGATCTTCGCTATATTACTTAGAGTTTTTTAATTTAAGTACAGCACTAGACTGGTGTCAAGATCTTATCAATTTACAGGAGCTGGCTAGATGTAGCCATAAATTCTATACTAACAGTTTCCTCTCTCAAAAAAACAGTGAATATTATTACCATTGTCTCATAAGATAAAGTTA